AACAATAAGACACACGTTTACCATCTAATAGCGATTACTCGTTGTCTCTGACTTCTTTATATGTGTCACTTATGTGTTTCCAACTTTATTTCTTTAGTGTATATTAAACTAGTATTTATAAATATTGATTCGAAACATGGCGTCCAGAGTTGTAAGTTTGAGAATATTTATGTAAATATATTATGAAGTATCTACGGTATCAGTAGGTATTTGTGTTCAATTGTTATAGCACATGATACCTGATATGCTCATTATTTGTCACTTTCCTACGAACTTGTAATATCTCTGGTTGACTTATGATGAGCTATGTGAGTAATGTTCATACATCTGACATCAAACCTAACTATTTGTGTGATTAAAGTGTCACATGCAGTGTCAGTTAATTATCATATATCTTGTAACAATTTTAATAAAGGTTTGACTAGTCGACAGCACATGTAATGGTTTACAGGTAGATGGACATTTTAACTATTTTGTTTCTTAATAAAAATGGGCAAGAGAGATCCTACTACATGGTGATATAAGATGCATGTTTGTTTTTAATTCCTCATTATATGCCTTATAAATTCAGTTAACAAAATAAGCAATTAACTCATAACCAGCGTTTTAATTTTTAACTTCTAGAAGAAAAATAGAAAAAGAGAATCTCTGCTGCTGGGAGCATTTTGAGTTTTGAAAGATAACAATTTAAACGTTATTCTTGCTACTATTTGAGATGGGGTTGGAGGAAAGTAATGTAATTGACTGCTTTGGTCAAATATAAATTCATATATAGTAACATTGTAATAGTCTTACAGTTGATTATAGCGTTTCCATCTTTAAATTTAAAAGTTATCCAAATCAAGTTCCGGATTTCAAATCCGGCAGAAAGTAATCACTACACACAACTACATGGCTAATTGATTAAATTGTGCCTGTGTACCAAACTTTGATGAAATTTCATGAAACACTAAACTGGTAGATTTATAAAATGTAAAAGTTTTAATTGTATTTGATGTGCCAGTAATCTTTGATTTTTCTTTATTTTTTCACTTTTTGTTGATGGCAAGGTAGAATTATATCCTCATTGACGTGTAAGACTGATCGTGTGAAGCATTTGGAAATTCTTTATCACAACGGAGTAATTTTGTTATTTGTTATATTTGGACTGTTAGTGAACTACTTTGTTTTAAATGTGTTCTAGAGTAAACTGAAGTTTGAAGTTGTAATAAATACACGAATATCATGATGGTGAGAAATATTTATGCTGTTTTTTTCAAAACTTGGAAAGGAAACAGCCTAAATCGATCACTTGAATTAACTTTCATAGATTTGCGAATATGGGAATGTCATACGCAGACAGCTCTGTTGTAGCTTTGTATGAAAATTCTAGAACAGTTTCTTACGTGGAGAGCCCAGTAACACAGATACAGATTATAATTAGTTCAGATAATCTCTGAGGTTTTATGGGATTATCCACAAAGACAGTTACCACTGTTTAAAGATTTAGTAAAAAATAAATCAACTTATGCATCTTAGTTAGCTCCCTTTGGATAGTTTCTATTATATAAACTTGAGATGTAATATTGATTATCATACCTACTACTCGGATCAATTTTGAGACTTTACATAACCACTGACAACATTGGAAGAGTAAATCTTACATGTTTTCATTTAATAGGAATGTGTTCTTTACTATGGTTCTGATACACAAATATGTGCATCTTGTAAGCACACACCTTGAAAATCATGTCACTTTAACCAATAGCACTAGTTTTCCTCTTACAGATTTCATTCAACATTTATTTTCTTCATGCAGTGGTTGTTTCACTTGTTTCAGTCTTCTCTGATTTGGGAAAATAACGTTGTTGATTTTATTGTAATATTCAATAATACAAACCTACGAGCTTTAATCCAGCGGTTTATTAACCAAAAAATGTAAATGTCAAAAAAGGACAACTAATATAATCTAACTACAACGATTAAAGCTAGTTTTATGAAATTAAAGAGTTAAAATAAATGAATTAATGACATGATAAAAGGCACCCGTAGCGTTGTGATTAAAGTTCCTGAACTAGGAATCCGAAAAAAAACGGATTAAACGTGCCTTCTCCTGGTCTTCTTACAACCTTAGCGCAACGGATATAATGCCTTAGGTAATAAAACTACTTGACAATCAATTATTCCTGATAACTATTTCATTTTTCAAGCGCTCCTCTTAGTAAGCGGTTTGATTTGAGCACTAAGTTTTTACTTGTATGTAATTTATCCTGGCTTTGTATTTTACCCAAAGAAACTCTGAAAACATCCATCAGAACCTACTTAGAAACGACTCTACACTGGATATTGTTTGAAGTACTTACCAGAGTAATACCCAAGGAATGTTTTTTTATAAAGTAAAAGCATCTGTCATGTCCTTTGGATCTGAATCTTTAGACCACATTGTACGACAATTTAAGATCTCGTGTTAATTAAAAAGAAATTTGGCGTAGTTTATAATACTCTTTGCAGAAACTGTCCTACTGTTTACGTTGGTCAGATGGGCTGGGCCATACATTGCAGTATCGCATAATGGAATGCAGAAGGGTTCGTCCGATACGAATAATCCAACTGTAAGTTCGGGTTTAGATAAACGTGCCACAACTTTGACTAGGAATTCACTAAACCCATACATCTCGATAAATCTTTACGAGAGTGGGAGATTATTTAAACATAGTACACATAGATACATACATTTATTTCTGTTAAATTCTCTACTAATCATTTAAATTATAACCTTAGAACTAGAAATTAAGAACAATAAGGATAATACACATTTTGGTTAGTTTATTTAATAAACAATGAAATCACAACCTTCGTCTTTGCTAGCTCCTAATGGAACTGGAGTTTTCCAGCCTGCTCGTCATGCTATGGGCACGTGGGCTATACGGACAGGGCATAGACCCCTTGGATTCAGATATATTCGACCGCGAGTTTGAACATTGATCAGAGACACGGCAGAAAGCCATCACCACACGCTGCCACAAGGATTTTTGTCCAACTCTTTGAATCGAAGAAAGGGGTTGACTGTCAGTTGTACAAAGTTGATAGGGTAGAGAGGGTCTAGTGGCATTATGTATCAAACCCTCAGCCTTTCTGCCCAAAACATGCTAATCACTAGGCCACTTCCGGCACATTAACTGTTGTTCCTACAGTGATATATTTTTTTAAATATATAAATAATGTGTATTATTTGTTGTACAATTTGTGCGCTAAGTACATAGACTAGAAGAAAGGTAATCTAGTCAACAGTACCAATCGTCAACTTTTTGGCTACTAACTGCCTTATCCAATGGTGGGATTTGACCGTCATTCTTATAACGCAACCACAGCCCCATAGTGCAGATCGCGTTTTTTTCGGATTCCTAGTTCAGGAACTTTAATCACAAGGCTACGGGCGTCTTTTATCATGTCCTTAATTCATTTATTTTAACTCTTTAATTTCATAAAACTAGCTTTAATCGTTGTAGTTAGGTTATATAATTCGTGGTGTAAGTCTATCAAAAACAAACAATTGTTGTATTGTTGTGTATTTGTTACTGCACATATTATTATATTGTATTTCATAATACAAAGGTCTGTTAATAAAAAAGAAAAATTAAATTGAAAGTCATGCCTATAATTTATTCCGTTTCGCTTTCCTATTAAGCAAGTTTTCACTCCACTGTTCACCGTGCCACCTTCAATTTGTTTCAGTAGTTTTTTTAAATGGTCTATCAAAGAGAAGTCTGTTTACTATTAGTTGATGTCAGATGTGGATACTTCTCATATTAACAGGTTAACCCAATTCAATAACATACAAAGTATTAGTGAAGTTAATACTGAAATTTACATGGGTGATTCAGTGAAATATATACGGTATATTTTGTAAAGTTTCCATAATTGATTTAATAAAGCTGATTTTTTAAATTGTAAATACAGTGAAGAACAGAAATTATAAAGATAGATACTTTTGGTAAGCATGTAAAAAACGGTTGCGAAACTTATATAATTAAGCTTCATGACAGTCTAAAGAAAGCATACAAGGGGCCACAACAAAATAATCACATAGTTTCTAGTTTTCGGGAAACCGGCGATTGTTGTAATTAATTTTTAAATGTTTTTGGAAAATATATTTGTAAATAAATAAGAAACATTATGTCAAAAATAGATATCCAAAGCAGAAAATTAGTCTCGTAAGGGTACACTGCTAGCTTGTGAACTTTAACGACAAACACTCCACCAATTTAATGAGCAAAAAATGAATAAAGCATGCAAGATTAATTAAATCAGTAATTGCTTTTTGAATATGTTTAACTTTTATAAATATGCTGAAAGTACTTTGACAATCAAAATCTATTTTGGGATAATCATACCCGTTAACCGTTTCTATAATAATGTTCAAAAGCAGTCCAATTTCATAATGTGACATCATTAAGTACAAGCTACTGTTCACAAAACATTGAGGTATATTTTCATCTACAGCAAAGCTACTAAGGCTATATGACGCTATACTTAATTAGGAACTACTGACCAGAGGGAGAGCAACCAATTAGCAGCACTTTACCATCCAGTTTAGAACCAGCCCCGAAAAGGTTGAGGTATAACACTAATTTGTAGGTATATATTTTGTCGTATCGCAAGGTTTAGAACCAGCCCCAAAAAGGTTGAGGTATAACACTAATTTGTAGGTATATATTTTGTTGGACCGCAAGGTTTAGAACCAGCCCCGAAAAGGTTGAGGTATAACACTAATTTGTAGGTATATATTTTGTTGTACCGCAAGGTTTAAAACCAGCCCCGAAAAGGTTGAGGTATAACACTAATTTGTAGGTATATATTTTGTCGTACCGCAAGGTTTAAAACCAGCCCCGAAAAGGTTAAAATATAACACTAATTTGTAGGTATATATTTTGTCGTACCGCAAGGTTTAGAACCAGTCCTCACCAATTCTTTCTTGTAACAGTCTAGTAAATTTTTCAAGTTTCGTAAATGTGGTTAATATTTTTATTTCACCTATTTAATACACATTTTAAAAGAGACATTTTTGTAAGCGAGTATTTTTTTCAAACTGCAAAATTCTACAGGTACTTGTGGTCCACTAAAAATAAAAAAAAAGAAAGAAAAAAGTTTAAATCCGTGACCATATAGAAGGTTCAATGGATAATAATAGTCATTCCTGGTTCCACTAGTAACTCCTGTGGGGAGGGAATACACATGTTGTCGTATACAACCTGGAAGTAAAGAAAGAAAAGAAATTCTTAAAGAGAAGAAACTGCAAATAGGATCGGTCATGCAAAGATAATTAGAATGAAACCAACTTTATAAGTTCCATAAACGTACCACTCTAATGACACTGTTAATACTAAATATATCATTGACATGTGTTAGTAGGTCCGTAAGAAGGGAAAGCAGCAATAATAAATTACGTAAGTTTGATTAAGTAAACATTTGAAGTATTTTTATAGCATAAAATATATGAATAGCTTTTTACGCTTGAGAAAAAGCTCACATAGAAAAGAAAGAAAGCGTTAAAAACAGCCTGACCAAACTTTTGATGATAAACAAATGCAAAATTAAGGAACGAAACCTTTCCCTTAGGAAAATAGAGAAACCGCAGTACATAATAACATAGCTATTTATACTAGTTCAAAGAATTCAAAGAATTTGAACCCTTACAGTTATGGTTCTTTCCCTACTATCTAACTAAATTTAAGCTTACACCACTACAAAAAGGCTGGCATTCCAACGTCAGGGAGATAAGTTTCTACTCATCACACCTAGTAATAGTAGTAGAACAACCACCCTTCCCCAACTGGTTGCAAACAGTAAAATATGGCAAGGCAGTAGGACGTTCTCGGCTTGAGCACTCAAATCTACTCTGCCTTTTGTTTTTCAGTTTGTGAGACAGGCGAAAGGAGATTAAATTTGAGTTCTTCTGCCACAGATACCTCCAAAACCAGAATATATCTTATAGTTTCTCATCATGGAATTTGTACCCTAGCGTGGTGCTACGTTATTTTGTTGTTACGATTTCTTTATTTAACTGTGAAGAAAGCTTTGTACCTTAGTGAAAATACATATGCAGGGAGAAACAATCGCATTGTTCTGCCATACACGTTTTACTGTGCACAAAACTATTCAACAGCAATCAGAAACTTGAACTTATAGCATCTTATTTCTAAGGGTTATGAAAAAGTGACTGAAGTCATATTTGTATTAAATTCACATTAACTTCACTGCAACAAATCCGGCCAAGTGTGAATGGTCACTATCTTTGAGATCTTTGCTGTGTGCTCTGTACGAAAGTAGGTTACTTTAAATGAACTAGGATATATAAAAAGGACATCTTCCTCAAAAATGCTCGGCGTCGTTTGATTGAAGGAAAAATCACACTGAATTCAAATACCGACGATTTATCACGATTTTCGTGGAGTAACGAGAGCTATTTCATCCAGCTTTGAACTGATGGTCGAATTAAGAGGCACGAAGGGACTGAGTTAGTTATATAGAAATAATATAGTGTTATATGAAAAGCTGCCTTTAGGTTTGACCTACCCATGAAATGTTTGCATGTTTGAATGACCACAGATCTCAAAATATTTTAAACAAATAATAATGTAGGAATGTTTAGACTGGACTTAAAAGTCTAAATACGAAAGTAATCCTGAAAATAGAGCTCTTTCAAAGTAAAATGTTGGATCTAGCAATAAATATTCCGTCTGAAGAGCAGATTTATCGATACTCCTAAATCTTTTAGAAGTAAAAGTTAAGAAGATCAGAAAATTCAATCATTGCAAATATTAACCATTCAGTTGCCTCCATAAAAACTGAGTTTTGTACAAAGTTTAATAAAAGTGTTTCTCTCTTAAACTGAGCTGTATCTGAAGAACAAAGGCTGTTCTACAAAAAAGAAAGTCGTCATTAAAAACTAATTATTGATATTATTAAAGTGAACCCTATCACTACGGGTTTTCATATGAGTAAGGGTCAGAGGGCATGACATCACTTTCTAGATTAACATTAAAAATTTTATTAGACTACTATTTTAAGAATGTATGTCACGTAAGTTTGGTATCAAATTGTAGATTATAATTTGAATTTTAGTATTATGCATTAGTTAGTTTTTTAATCTAAAAATAAAAATTAAAATAAAGTTCCTAAATATCGATTTTTGTGTGTCACGTGATATGTTGAATTCAGCTTTGGTTCAGATTAAATATTTGTGATGTCCAAATACAAAGTCTATAGTTCCTTACGAATTAGAAACTTAACTTACCGATATTGAAAAGGTAGAATATAAAAGAAGAACCTCCTATCTTTTATATTTTCTGATATGTTATTATATTTAGTGAATTAAACAAGGTGGTCCCACCCACCTCTTCCGTTTTTGGAAATACTTGTTTACATACACCTACTTCGTTCTATGACTTGTTTATAACCGATCGAAAACTAACGATCTTCCCCACGTGGTTTTCTCATTCTTTGCAAAGTGTTTACACGGGAAAAAACTGTCTTTTTCATTGTAGGCTTGGAGAGAAGGGGTAAGACGAAATGGTGATCGAAAAATTATATTTTTAGACCCAAATACAGCATAGGTAGTAACTATGATAAATTACAGTGGAATTCCGTGGTACTGATATAGTAATTTATGATATTTTTGTTATTTCAAGATACATATATAAAACCTAAAACAAATATTTTGTTTTACATCCTCCACGTGCGAAATTCGACAAGGTTTAGCAAATTACGGCAAGCGAGTACAAACTTCGTAAGTAGAAGAGATCATTGTTTTAAGAAAAATAACTGAAATTTAAGAATTTATTTTTCAATACTATTAATATATTTACATATGTAATGTATTATAACCAAAATGTGATTGTATTCTAGAAAATACTGGTCCACTAGAAAAAAAGCTAAGATAGTTGAACTTTGTTAAGGCCAGTTTTGTGCTGTTGGATACAGTAGCATGAGCTACATGTTCCGCGTGATTGCAGCTTATGTAATGTTACTGTTAAGTCAGACACGGCTGAAAAGTCAATAAAATAAAAAATAATACATATATATAGATTGATTGATTGTTTTGAATTTCGCGCAAAGCTACACGAGGGCTATCTGCGCTAGCCGTCCCTAATTTAGCAGTGTAAGACTAGAGGGAAGGCAACTAGTCATCACCACCCACTGCCAACTCTTTGGCTACTCTTTTACCAACGAATAGTGAAATTGACCGTCACATTATAATGCCCCTACGGCTGAAAGGGCTAGCATGTTTGGTGTGACGGGGGTTCGAACCCGCGACCCTCAGATTGCGAGTCGTGTGCCGTAACCACCTGGCCATGCTGGGCCATATATATAGATGTACAACATTACGAGATTTAAGCTATTTGGAATAAACATTTGTAGTTTCGTGTTATAATTGGTCAAATGACCAAACCTGTACAGAGATAACATAGAGAAAACAACAGATAAAATATAAAGTTTTTTAAACAGAAACGTTTGATAATTATCTGGAGGTTATAGAGATTTCACATGTGAAATTTGACAATTTTCTGACTCATAAAAGTATTTTTAATCTTAAAATCAAAATTACTTTGCATGTTGGATAGTCAACATTCGAAAAGAACAAATAGAGGAACAAATCATTAATCCAAAAAAAAAAAGCTGATATTTTATATACGAAAACATTGTAATGTTTATTGATAATCTGTAAAATTTCGTGAAGATACGTGTACATTTTAAAAAGTTACAGTATAACTGCTTTATGGTTACTTTGGTGGATACCGGCTGGATGGAGCAAAAATAAGAAAGGTATGTCTGAAAAAGAAAGCAGTATTATAAAAACAGTTATGTTTGAGTAAAAACTAGTGATATAACAAAAAATATGTTTTTATAAAAAAAAAGATGTACTGCAATAACAAAGTTGTGTCTGAACAATAAAGACAGCTCATTGTTTGTTGTTCGACCACAATTTGCTTTTGTAGACCAATTTCATGTTTAAATCCAGTTCTGTTGCTATATGACTATTTTTATTAATCATACTCGATTTTGTTTTCACAATTCCACGATAACAGAGTTGTGTCTGAACAACAAAGGCAATCCCACAATAACACACCGGTGTCAGAGCAGCAGAGGTAGTCCCAAAATAACAGAGTCGTGTCTGACAGCAAAGGTAGTCCCACAATAAAAGAGCTGTGCTGAAGCAGCAAAGGGAATGTCTGAGTAGCTAAGGCAGACCCACAACAACAGAGCTGTGTCTGAGCAGCAAAGATAATGTCTGAGTAGCTAAGGCAGTCCCACAATAACAGAGTTGTGTCTGATAACAAAGGTGGTCCAACAACAACAGAGCCGTGTCTGATAACAAAGGTGGTCCAACAACAACAGAGCTGTGTTTGATCAGCAAAGGCAATGTCTGAGTAGCTAAGGCAGTCCCACAATAACAGAGTTGTGTCTGATAACAAAGGTGGTCCAACAACAACAGAGCTGTGTCTGAT